ACATTCAAATCCAGGAAATACAGAGAACGCCACAAAGATACTCCTCGAGAAGAGCAACTCCAAGACACATAATTGCCAGATTCACCAAAGTTGAAATGAAGGAAAAAATCTTAAGGGCAGCCAGAGAGAAAGGTCGGGTTACCCACAAAGGGAAGCCCATCAGACTAACAGCAGACCTCTCGGCAGAAACTCTTCAAGCCAGAAGAGAGTGGGGGCCAATATTCAACATTCCTAAAGAAAAGAATTTTAAGCCCAGAATTTTATATCCAGCCAAACTAAGTTTCATAAGTGAAGGAGAAATAAAATCCTTTACAGATAAGCAAATGCTTAGAGATTTTGTCACCACTAGGCCTGCCTTACAAGAGACCCTGAAGGAAGCACTAAACATGGAAAGGAACAACCGGTACCAGCCATTGCAAAAACATGCCAAAATGTAAAGACCATCAAGGCTAGGAAGAAACTGCATCAACTAACGAGCAAAATAACCAGTTAATATCATAATGGCAGGATCAAGTCCACACATAACAATCTTAACCTTAAATGTAAATGGACTAAATGCTCCAATTAAAAGACACAGACTGGCAAACTGGATAAAGAGTCAAGATCCATCAGTCTGCTGTATTCAGGAGACCCATCTCACACGCAGAGACATACATAGGCTCAAAATAAAGGGATGGAGGAAGATTTACCAAGCAAATGGAGAACACAAAAAAGCGGGGGTTGCAATACTAGTCTCTGATAAAACAGACTTTAAACCATCAAAGATCAAAAGAGACAAAGAAGGCCATTACATAATGGTAAAGGGATCAATTCAACAGGAAGAGCTAACTATCCTAAATATATATCCACCCAATACAGGAGCACCCAGATTCATAAAGCAAGTCCTTAGAGACTTACAAAGAGACTTAGACTCCCATACAATAATAATGGGAGACTTCAACACTCCACTGTCAACATTAGACAGATCAACAAGACAGAAAGTTAACAAGGATATCCAGGAATTGAACTCATCTCTGCAGCAAGCAGACCTAATAGACATCTATAGAACTCTCCACCCCAAATCAACAGAATATACATTCTTCTCAGCACCACATCGTACTTACTCCAAAATTGACCACGTAATTGGAAGTAAAGCACTCCTCAGCAAATGTACAAGAACAGAAATTATAACAAACTGTCTCTCAGACCACAGTGCAATCAAATTAGAACTCAGGACTAAGAAACTCAATCAAAACCGCTCAACTACATGGAAACTGAACAACCTGCTCCTGAATGACTACTGGGTACATAACGAAATGAAGGCAGAAATAAAGATGTTCTTTGAAACCAATGAGAACAAAGATACAACATACCAGAATCTCTGGGACACATTTAAAGCAGTGTGTAGAGGGAAATTTATAGCACTAAATGCCCACAAGAGAAAGCAGGAAAGATCTAAAATTGACACTCTAACATCGCAATTAAAAGAACTAGAGAAGCAAGAGCAAACACATTCGAAAGCTAGCAGAAGGCAAGAAATAACTAAGATCAGAGCAGAACTGAAGGAGATAGAGACACAAAAAACCCTCCAAAAAATCAATGAATCCAGGAGTTGGTTTTTTGAAAAGATCAACAAAATTGACAGACCACTAGCAAGACTAATAAAGAAGAAAAGAGAGAAGAATCAAATTGACGCAATTAAAAATGATAAAGGGGATATCACCACCGACCCCACAGAAATACAAACTACCATCAGAGAATACTATAAACACCTCTACGCAAATAAACTAGAAAATCTAGAAGAAATGGATAATTTCCTGGACACTTACACTCTTCCAAGACTAAACCAGGAAGAAGTTGAATCCCTGAATAGACCAATAGCAGGCTCTGAAATTGAGGCAATAATTAATAGCCTACCAACCAAAAAAAAAGTCCAGGACCAGATGGATTCACAGCTGAATTCTACCAGAGGTACAAGGAGGAGCTGGTACCATTCCTTCTGAAACTATTCCAATCAATAGAAAAAGAGGGAATCCTCCCTAACTCATTTTATGAGGCCAACATCATCCTGATACCAAAGCCTGGCAGAGACACAACAAAAAAAGAGAATTTTAGACCAATATCCCTGATGAACATCGATGCAAAAATCCTCAATAAAATACTGGCAAACCGGATTCAGCAGCACATCAAAAAGCTTATCCACCATGATCAAGTGGGCTTCATCCCTGGGATGCAAGGCTGGTTCAACATTCGCAAATCAATAAACATAATCCAGCATATAAACAGAACCAAAGACAAGAACCACATCATTATCTCAATAGATGCAGAAAAGGCTTTTGACAAAATTCAACAGCCCTTCATGCTAAAAACGCTCAATAAATTCGGTATTGATGGAACGTACCTCAAAATCATAAGAGCTATTTATGACAAACCCACAGCCAATATCATACTGAATGGGCAAAAACTGGAACTTCATGCTAAAAACGCTCACAAATTGCACATGAACGGGCACCTTTAAAACTGGCAGAGCAATATGACAAATCACAGCCACATTGCATTGAATGGGTGTAAAACTGGAAAATTCCCTTTGAAAACTGGCATAAGATGTAGTTGCCTTCTCACCACTCCTGTATTCAACATAGTGTTGAAGTTTCAGTTAGCAACCAGGTAAGAGGGAAAGAATCAAGGATTCAGTTAGGAAAAGAAGAAGTCAAATTGTCCCTGTTTGCAGATCGACACACTGTAGATTAAAAACCCATTGCCTGCTCAAATCTCCTTAAGCTGATCAGCAATCAGCAAAACCTGATTGCAAACTACACTGTGGTGACCACACATTCTTTGCTACACCAGTGATAGGCCAATGAGGAGCCAACTGGTAGAATGAACTTCCATTCAATTGCTTTCCAAAGAGGAATGTGTAAAGCATCAGAATCAACTGCAAGGATGTAAAGGACCTCTTCACAGAACTAAAAGAACTACTGCTCAGTGAACCAGAGGATGCACGAAATAAATGGAAGAGTCGATACCAGTGCTCATGATAGAAGAACTAATATCAGAAATGCACAATACTGTCAAGTGCACGGAGAGATTCAATGCTATCTGATTTGGTTAGCCAATGAGCTTTCACAGAATTGGAAAACTGTTGAAAGTCATATGAACTGCAGAGCCTGATTCTAGACAACTAAGCCAAAAGAACAGCTGGGAGGTAACACACACTGACTTCAACTATATTACAAGGCTACAGCATCAAACACAGCATGGTACTGACAAAATGAGATATAGGACTCATGGAGTAGAACAGAGTCCTCAGAAATACAGCCAATACATCTACAGCCATCTGATTCTTTTGTGGATAAACTGAGAGAAATGAAATGGGAAAGGATTCTATTTAATAAATAAAGCAATAATAGCCAAGCAGTAGAAAGCTGAACTGAATTTCTCACTCTGAAGGTGGGGTCTTTTGACTCAAGATGGATTAGAGACTTTAGAATGTTAAGACCCACACTATGTGAAATCCTTAGAGAAACTTTAAAAATTATCTAGGACATAGTATGGGCAAAAGACTTATGTCTTGAAATAACTAAAGCAATGCAGCCAAAATTGGCTAAATGGGATCCTTATCAAACAAAGAGCTTGCATGCAAAAGAAACTACCATCAGAGGAGCAGTAACTCACAGAATGGGAGAAATTTTAATCACTTATCTGACAAAGGGCGAATATCCAGAACCTGTTGCAAAGAACTAAACAATAGAAAGAAAACAACAATCCTACCCAAAAGTGGGTGTATGATATGAATGACATTTTCGCAGATATTTATACAGCCAATACATGAAAAATGTCAACACTAAAGCAACAAAAAACACACTTGAACACTTGGTTACTGGGAGGAAGGTAAATCAAACAGAATGAGAGTATATCTCTACAATTGAAAGAATACACTGTCCAGTGTCAGGGAATAAACAAAGGAGAGGGATGTGGGAGAAGCTTCAGGAACACTTTTACTGTTGTGGGGACAAATCAGTTCAAATCCACAGGAAAGGCATGGCATTCTAAGTGAGATCTAGAACTAGATAAACAAGTACAGACCAAATATCCCATTACTGGGTATATACCAAGATTATAAATTATGCTGCTATAAGGACACATGTACATGATGTTTACGGCACTATTCATAAAAATGAAAGACTTTAATCAACCTAAACATCTATCAGCACAGATTGGATTAAAATGTGTACATATACACATGGAACACTAGTGCAGCCATAAAGGATGAGCTGTGTCTTAGAGGACATGGACAGCGAAACTGCTCATTCTCAGCAAAACTATCACAAGAACAGAACTTCAATGACTGGCTGTTCTACCATAGGCGGGAACTGAACAATGAGACTACCTGGACTCGGGAAGAGAACATCACACACCAGGTCAATGGGAGTGTAGGAGAATGCATTGGGAGTTATACCTGATGTAAATGATGAGTTGATGGTGTAAAACAATATGGGCACATATATATATATATAACTCAATGCTGTATGTACCCATAATTTGAAGTTTAATAATAATAAATAAATTAAAAAAAAAAAAGTACTTATTGTTTTAAACCACTAAATTTGGGGAATAATTTGTGATGCAGCAATAGGTAATCAATACAGACATTCAAATGAATATTTATGCTTGGAGCTTAAGAGAGAAGTCAAAGGTGGAGTAAGTGTTTAGGAACCATTAGCATTTGATGGCACTTAAAACCGTGGAACTGGATAAGATGATTAAAGTAAGAAAAGTGATCAGAGGAGAGCAGAGCTCTGAGGAATGAGCCTTGGGGGTTGCCAGCCTTCAAGGTTTGGCCAAACAAAGGAAATTTAGCAGAGCAAATGGGCATGAGGATGCCCAGGTGGAAGGAGGAAGAGCAGAAGGGTGTGGTGTCAGGAGTCAGGAGAAAATTGTGTCAAGGAGAGAAGTCTATGCTGCTGTGAGTTCAGTTAAGGTGAATACCTCTAAGAAGAGGTCATTGACTTTGACCACAGGGAGTTGATTGGCAACCTGGACCAGCAGCTGGAGTGGAAGAGAAGCCTGGTTGAAGAGGACTGGGGAAAGCAGGGAACAGGGAGGTGATTGTGTTCCTGACTAGGCAGCAAGAGGTATGTTCAAATAAATATTGACTTTCCCTTTCAATTCCACTAAAGCTGTGTTTACTTTCCTGTGTGGTTCTTGGTCTCTGGTGATGGGAGGCAGGAAAAGAAAACAGAAGTTGGGGCTGAGTAGAGGGTGGTATTAGGGAACTTAATTGACATAGCTGAAGTAAGTTTGATGGCAGAGCCAGGGGGCTCATGTGATTTAAATCCTATCTGGGTTAATTAGTTAATGGAATTGCTTTTGCAAAATTGTGATAATAAGATAAATCTGACATGGCTGATTCCATCTTGCTTCTAGCCTGACAGGCTGGCTGTCCACTCATTCCTGCGCTTAGTCCAAGCTAACTTTGGGAAACATTTAATTTATAGTATAAATGATAATAGGCCTTCCCCCAAACTCAACCACCTTTGTAAAGCTAATGAAAGGTCACCAGGTTAAGAGGATGTGAGGAGGCTGAATTCTGCTAAGTTGTAGACATAAACCATTGCCAGTCATTATTCCAGAAGTCAGAAGATATGCAGCTTTCCCAATTACTTCTGCAGATAACATCGCTGTCTTAGATCCTAAGATTGGCCATTGGAGACGTCTTTTCAAGTTTTTGCATTTCTGACTACCAGTGGCTCTACCTGGACCTGCCCTTACCCAACTGGTCCTGTGGCCCCCACCCAGAAGTAGAATCCCTGGCTTGCCAAACAACCCTTGAAAAACCCTAGCCTCCGAGTTTTTTGAGATTGATTTGAGTAATACTGCTGTCTGCCATATGGTGTGGCTGGTCTTGTGTCTATTAAACTGTTTCTTTATTGCAGTGCCACTGTCTGGTTTTGCCTGTGTGGTGGGCAAGAAGAACCCATTGGACAGTGATGTGAAGATAGTTTCTTTGTATTGTCTGAATTAGAAATCCATCCTTCAGCCATTCAACACTCTGCACGGGGACTCTGCCAGGCAGTGGTGATCCATCATCAAGTCAGACATCATGCAAAGAAGAGACAATCCAGGGTCTGGAGAGGGACAGACGATTTCATAAACATTATAGGACTTGTGAGTAGTCAAAGTGAAACAGAGGTACATCCTGGCATTAAGAGAGAGAGAGAAGGAGGGCCCAAGGTTGCCTGGAGGAGATGGCTTCTAGCGGAGCTTAAAGACCTTGTTGTTAGCACAATGATCAGATATTCCAGGTCTCTTCCTGCCCTCCCCTCCACCTGCTATTTCTCCTCCAACTCTTCCCTTCCAAGTTTCCCACTAATGTCCAGCTTTTCTCCTCCCCAAACATCTCTTCTTTCTCCTTCCAGTTATCTCCTTTGCCCTTCCTCTTTCTTTTCTCCCTCCTCCCTCTCCACCGCCCTCCACTGCTCTTTTCTCCCCTTTCCCTCCTTTTCCTCCCCCTTCCCTGGCCCAGGATGAAAGCCCTTCTGCAGCCTCCCAGCTGATGAATTATGCATGTCCTTCAGCGGGTGTGCCTGGCATCCAATTAAGGCCTTGGCCAGGGTGATCACTTAGACAGATTAAAATGTAATTCATTGGAGTTGACATTTAAGCCCCAGTGTGAATGGCAATGAGAAGAAGCAAATGCTCTCCCGGTACCTGGTGTGTATTTGGGGGTGGGTGAGGCTCGCAGCTACCTGCGCTTGCTTAACTAATTCCAGCCTGGAGTAATATCAACACACACACTGGGCCTCTGATGCACAATGGGACTGGGGAAAGGTCCAATGCAAGCTTTGAGCCAAAGGAAGCTTAAAAGAAAAAGAAAAAAAAAAAAAGAACTTTTTTTATTTAGAACTAATTTGAGATTTACACAAGAGTAGTGATAATAGCACAGAGAGTTCCCATATGCCCGTCACCGAGTTTTCCCTAATGTTAACATCTTATGTAACCATGGCACAGGGGTCAAAACTAAGAAATTAACGAGGGTACAATACCATTAACGAAACTGCTGATGTTTTTCCGATTTCACCCAGTTTCCCACTAGTGTCCTTTTTCTGTTCCAGGATCCAGGCCAGGATCCCACATTCTAAAGCAGCCCTTTAGGATTCTTCAGGGGCAGCAATTCCTCCCTGCTCCCCAGACCAGCAATTCTCAAACTTTAGAGTGCAGAGAGTTATCAGGGATTTTGTTTAAAGGGCATGTCCTTCCCTAGACGTTCTGATGCAGCAAGTCTTAGATAGAACCCTAGCATATCCTTAGCAAGCATCCCTAGCCAGACACAAGCTCCCAGATAACTGGTTGATTCCCGATTTCTTTGTAAGTCAGGTGTCCACTTGTAGATTTCCTTCATCCCCTGGCTTATCCTCAGGAAACAGCAGAATTACCCCCACCCACCACCTACTACCAGACCCTGGAGAAACTGCTGGGCTAACACAACATCCTGATTTTGGAACCACTGGGTCAGACACTTCATCTGCCAGGCCAACCCCCCTGGTTAAGTCCTTCTTGAAGAGGGGAGAAAGTGACATTTACCTGCCAGTCACAGATATGTACATATTTTCATTTAATCCAAAGAGATTATCTGTAAGTAGATACTATTTCCCCCATTTTATAATTGAGGAAACCGAACAAAAGTGATATTAAGGGTAGGGTTGCCAGATTTTGCAAATGAAAATATAGGAGGCCCCGTAAAAGTTGAACTTTAGATAATACAATACTGGAGACATACTGATATTTTCAAATATTGTCATTTACTAGAAATTCACACTTAACTGGACCTCCTGTATCTTAGCTTGCAGCCCTGTTTAAATGACAAGTCTGTGGCTGCAGAGCTAGTAAGTAGGTCCAGATGTGGATCTGACTCTGATGTCTGCAGCACAGGGCACCCTGTGCTCGCCAGCTCAATGCCTGCCTCACCTAGTGAGCTGCAGGCAACATGACATGGGAACTGTGTGGATTTGTTTCCTGCTGTATCTCCAAGGCCTGGCACCATATGGCAGTAGATGCTTAATAAATATTTGTTAAATAAATGAATGACTAAATGCATTCATGAAGGGACTCGATACTCTCTTTGAACCAGGGAAGGCTGCAGAGTGATAGTGATTAAACAGAAAAGCTGAGTTGGTGAGGTTGAAACGGCCTTTGCAAAATTGTAACTGAGGAAATTATAACAGTGAAAGAAATCAGATCTAACTGACTCCATCTCGTTTCTAACCTTTAAGCTGTCCTTGTTCATTGCTGGGCATAGGCTGAACTAACTTTGGGAAGGGATTCAGTTCATGATTTGACTTTGAAACAAAATAGATAATAGCCCTTTCCTGAAAAGACCCTCTTCTTGCCTGGGGACCAGTCTGCCTTTGCAGGACTAACAAATCAGCTACTGATTAGAAATTACAGTTTAGGGGTCATGCAGCCTCTGGCTCCAATAGTCTGAACTTCCCCACATTTCTTCTGGGAATAACGTCACTATTGTGAAGCCTAAGATCAGTGCTTGAGAGATTTTGCAGCCCCTGCACTCCATGGATCAGCTGACACCACCGAGACCGGTAATGTGGCTCAGTCAGTTCTGCCATCGCACCCAGGAACAGAGACAGCAAGAAAACCTCACTTCGACCCCCTATGATTCCTTCTCCAGCCTGACCAATCAGCACTCCCCACTTCCCAAGCTTCTACTTGCCAAATTGTCTTTAAAAACTCTGATCCCCAAATGCTCGCGAAGACTGATTTGAGTAATAATAAAATTCCGGTCTCCCGCACAACCAGCTCTGCATGAATTATTTTCTCCATTGCAATTCCCCTGTCTTGATAAATCTGCTCTGTCTAGGCAGCAGGCAAGGTGAACCCAGGGCACTTACAAGGTGCTGGGTGATAAAACTGCCTGTAGGTATGCAAGAGGAGTTGGAGGTCTGTGGCCTCGTGCCTACACCTGGGGGCTCAGTTCTTGCACACTGAACGATGGCAAAGAGCCCTTTTTCTCTTCACCTCTCAGGGCCTCTGTTTTCTCAACGGTGAAATGGGATTGTGTGTCTTCTAGTTCTAGGCTTCTGTGAGTCTATGCTTTTTCTTCATTAATCTCACCCTCCAGTAGGTAAAGAATATGGCCAAAGTAGAGGATTTGCTGCTGAACACTACCCATTTACTTCCCAGGTCACTATTTATTCTCCCTCCTCCTCGCCTTTCCCCTGCTCCTTCTCTTCCTCCTCTTCCTTGTCTTCCTCCTTCTCATTCTCCTCTTCCTCCGTCTTCATCCTCCATCTCATTCTCCTTCTCCTCTTTCCCTTCCTCCTCTACCTCCTTTTCCTATTCCTCCTCCTCCTCCTCCTCCATGACAACTTTCTGAGTACCCCCTTGGTGCCTGGCCTTGTGTGTTTTTTTCCTCGAATGCTCCCTTCCACCCTAGCAGACAAAATCAGAAGCCCAGAGAGACCCGGCACAGCACAGCTCCTCATAGACAAGGAAAGACGTTGAGAGCGCATTGTATCTTTTAAAATAGACCTGTTGTCGTCGGAATGTATTTTTAGCCATGGGAGAGACTGGCATGCACTCAGTGCCACCATCTGCCAAAGGCAGTTGCTAGGCAACTGACACTGACGACAGCAAGGAGATGACTTCATGGAGGATCTGAGGACCCTGGTGGCCCAATCCCGCTTCCCTGTCTAATGCCTGCGTGCCAACAGTCAGGCCCACGAGAATACGCGTTCCTTTCCTTCTGGGAGGGGCGGGGAGTTGATTCAAGGCCTGTGAGCTGACAGCATTGGATGCTGCACAGGTAACAAGGGACACTGAGCCATCACTGTCACCTTGATTAGTAGATTTTCTATTTAGAAACTTCAGATGCAACTGTGGTCTAAGACGGGGGCTCTGAATTCAACTAGACCAAAGAATACACATCCCTCTCCCTGGCAGCCCCATAGGCACTGGTCTGGGTCTGGGTAGGAGCTGTTTGGAGGTAGCTGGCTCAGAGGAAGCTTCATAGACAAAGCAGTAGGTCGGTGGCCAGGACCCTGGATTCTGGCCCAGTTCTGCGTTTTGCTCTCTTTGTGAGTTGGGTTAGTCTCTTCCCTTTCCTGGCCCTCCCTTTTTGTCACCTTCCAAGTAGGGATACTGCACCAGATAAAATACATTTATGGGAATAAAAAACGGAATAAGCACAGAATAGAAAACCCATAAGCCAGATCTGGGTTTGCTCATGTGATACTTCAGGTAAGATACTGAAATTCTCACTGCCTTCATCTCTTTATCTGCAAACAATAGTAGTAACACTTCTGTTGTGATGTGAGAATTAAACAAAGCAGCACATGAAAGACATGCACCTTTGTTTTGGCTTATTTTGGAGCACAATAAATGGGTGAGTATTATTCAAGTTCTGTAGCAGAGACTGTGTGTTGTCCACCACGATCATTTCTCCTCGTCCTTATTAATAGACTTTAAGCTGGGCGTGTTTCCAGCCTCCCTTGTAGCTAAATTCTCACCAAAGGCATATGAAAGGAAGGGATGGGGGCAGCTTCTACTTCACTCACTTACAGGAAAATTGCTTCCCTGAGTATCTTCTCTTTTTCTCTCTGTAAGCCAGAGCATAGATATACCTGGGACACAGTCTGACCATGCAGAGCAGTAGGACATGCGGGGGCTGGTGCAGAGCAACAAGATGGAAGGGACCTGGGGTCGCTCTTGTCTTAGCACAGTTCATGCACTAAAAAGAGGACTGAGTGAATGTAGTTTGCTTAGGAGGCATGAGCACTGGCAGATGAGTGGGGAGGGGACAAAGAGAAAGAAAAGCAGCCACAGTGTGGATGATAAGAGCTTAATCCCATAGGGAGACTCTGGGAAATTGTGTGAAACAGGCTTTAGGGCAGGCCAGGGAGTGAGGAAGCAGGGGCAGTTTTACCCTGACACCCATCAGACCCTGGTACCTCCAGTCTTCCACGTGGTGTGAGCAGAGTGAATGTTGGCAGCCCAAGGGCAAAGATGCAAGTGATAGCCATGGGCAGCTGGGCCAGAGGGTGCAGAAATGGTATGGGGCACTGAGGGGATGTAGACACATCTCCTGCAGCATCAGCCATGCTTTGCCAGAAAGAGAAATAGACTTCCATGCTCTTGAACCACTGTACATTGAGGATTCCCTGCAGCTTAGCTTTCCCCCTAATTAATTTAATTGCCAAGTGCATGCATATGGAAGATTTTGGTTTTATTCTGTCCCTCCAAGCTCCTGGGCTTTATGTGGTACTCACGGAGTTTATGTTGTGATTGAGGAGACAAGGTTAATGCTGAGAAGCAGCAGTGTCTCAAAAGAGTGTGCAATCAAATGGTTAATGGTGTTTCTGGGGCTCAGGGAGCAAGTGGCATAGGCCCTCAGGGAAGGGGCAGATGAGTGTGGACCAGCATAGTCAGAGAAGGCTTCCTGGAAGAGGTGGACTGAAGTAGCCCTTTATCTGCTGGAGAGGACTGGGAGCACTGGGGTGAAGGGCATCCTTACTGAGCCATGGAATAGCTCCTTCTGTCAGGTGTGGGGTAAGCAGGTACCTTGGCTTCTTTGATGGCAGAGTGGACTTAGGCCAGTGGCTGTTGGAGGTGGCTGCATGATGCATTTAGAGGAGTGGGCTGTAGGATGCCTCTTAGCTGTGAGTGACCTGGAGGAGGGGGTGTGGCTACAGGGCACATCGCCATTGCTCTCCGTGTCCTGAGGTGAGGAGGCTAATGGCAGGTGCCCCTTGTCACACACCTGATATTGCCAGTGTCCAGATGGCATGTCAAGCTCACTGAGGCTGAGACCTGCCCAGCACTCAGGGAGCAGAGGTGAATGTCCTGGAGTGAACTCTGCGGCTGGATGACCAACTCAGGCTGGGCACTCATGCAAGCAATGTGTCTAACGGGCTTAGCAGACTGTAAGTACTCACATCATCTTGGAAGGCAGGACTGGGGGCTCCTTAGGGACCATCTGGTCCAGATCCCTCATTTTGAGGATGGAGGCATGGAGCCCAGAGAAGGTAACGAACTTGTCCAAGGCCAGCAGAGGTAACCAAAATTCAGATTTCTTAACTTTCCCAGGCAGCCAGTGCAGCGGACATAGAGCTAGATGGGGCCACAGACCTCAGATCTTCTGCCATTCACCTGTGGGTCATTCACTTTACCCACTGGCCCCTTTTTCTTATTCGTGGTAGCTCAGAACTCAAGAGAGGGTGAGATCAGGTTCCTCTGCCTCCAGGCATGTGTGTGTGTGCCTGTGTGTGTGTGCACGTGCACACACACACGTGCTCAATCCATGGAATTAAAGCTTTCTCCTTTCCTTCAAATATCCATGGTTCCTCTCTGCCACCTTTCTGCTCTACCCCAATGTAGAACACAGTTCTCCTTGGTGACTAACTGCAGTCATTCCTGCTTTGCTTTTGGTTTGATTTGTTTTAACCTCTAGGCACAGTTTGGTTTTGCTGATGAATCTGAGGAGCGGGTTGAAATTAGCAGATTAACTTTTATCCTCATTCTGTGTCCAATTTCAGTGGGAAAGAGGGTGCAGGAAAGACTCTAGCCCTCCATTTCCTCAACAATGAATTGAGGACAAGTGGAAAGGAATGAGGAAATTCACCCAGGCTTCCCAAGTTCCCAGTCCTCCCAGCTCTGGAGGGAAAGTGGAGGGCAGTGTCTCTCAGAGGTAAGGAGGCTGTATAGCCTTACTCAAACCAAGGCAAATGAAAACTGCCCTTTTGTGGGCTTGTTATAAATCCCATCATTTCTCTCCACTCCTCACATCTACAAATGTGGAACATTCATTCCCTGTTCTAGATTCTCTCTGCATATTATTCTCTTTGAGAAAATATGAACAGCTTCCTTTGTTCTCTTTGGGGAATTTTTGTCTGGAATGGAGAGAAACGAGGAAGAAGGGTTCAGCCCTCAGCCCCTGAGAAGGGGAGCCTCTCTGGAGCTTGTACTAAGTGACCATGCCCACTGCAGGTGGAGAAGTCGAGAGGTCTCCATGGGACACCCAATCTATTTGGGGAATCAGGCCTACAAGTCAAGGTACTTATGGACAATACAAGACATAAGATGAACTAAACTGCGAGAACTGTGGGTCACCTCAAACATACAGGTATCAAGAAGGGAAAGATTAGTGTGGACTATCACAGAGAAGACACTATGGGGGCCAGGTGCAGTGGCTCACGCTTGTAATCCTAGCACTTTGGAAGGCTGAGGTGGGTGGATCACCTGAGGTTGGGAGTTCAAGACTAGCTTGACCAACATGGAGAAATCCTGTCTCTACTAAAAATACAAAGTTAGCCAGGCGTGGAGGCACATGCCTGTAATCCCATCTACTTGGGAGGCTGAGGCAGGAGAATCCCTCGAACCTGGGAGGTGGAAGTTGCGGTGAGCCAAGATTGCTGGGCAACAAGAGCGAAACTTCGTCTCAAAAACAAACAAACAAACAAAAAACTGAGAAGACATTATAGGACAAGAAGCCTGCAGTAGGATGCTGACAGATGGGATTGGGTAGGATAAGAGGAACAGGAAGAGGAGGCTCCGGTGTTCAAGGAGGAAGAGTGAAGAAATCAGAGGC